ATCCTGTATTACTTACATTGTCTTACTATGACTGATCTTAATTGAATCCGATTCATAAGACCATGGGTTTGCCTTGACTGATTTTATTTGAATTTGTTTTTTTTTATTTAAAGAAAAGGAAACGAAAAAAAAAATACATGGAGATTAAAAAAAAGGGTAGAAATAATACTAAATTACAGACAAACAAAAGGTAAGAAATTGCCAGTTGATAAGTTACAAATTGTCATCTTCGAAATGGCTGTTCAGGTTATAGAATTAAAGTATTTAGAATGACATTCAAAAAAGTGACCCTACAAACCATTCTGCTCTATGGTCGAACAAAAGCTCCGTAATATGATTATCAGTCCCACCTATTTGTTTTACATCTCTAAGAGGGTAAGGTTAACCATATCAAAACAGAACAGAACATTTAAAAAAAAAAACAATTTAAAGAAATACAGATTTCAAAGCAAATCCACTGGAGATCTACCTTATCTAACTGTCTCTAGCTTCTTACAAATAGTTGTCCCTAACTTCACCCACTTTCTATACTTATTGCATATTATAGAACTAATCAAATCATTACAGGATGATGGAGTCTTTTTAGGTCCTCAAGTTCCAAATTAGGGAAGACAATAGCAACTACCATCGCATCTCTCATTCTCTTTGTGATAGCCGTCCCCATCTCTGCATATGCTGAAGTTGAGCTGAAGAAACCAGTCCAATGTCATTCTAATCAGCAAGCAATAGATTGCTAGAATTTATATTATAATGCTACAAAATAAGCCTCGGGTTTTTCAGGTCTCTTCCTCAGAGTATTTGTTCCTATCCTCTCTGTATTATAGGGAAAACCAAGTCATAACAAGACAGCGAAACAATTTCCTAGATAAACATGCAATGGATAAGACTTATAAAACTATAATATAAATGATCTTCTGTAGCTACTATGTTTTCTCTTGTTATTTTCAATAGATTTGTCCACAACACTGGCTTATTATAGTTAAACATACTATCACCTATTTTTATAAAAACTTATATTTGACTGCATTGTAGTATTTGAGAGCTGTTACTGATTCATACCAGTATGGATATCCTTTACATCTTGTCATGCTCAGAGTAGTTTCCTCTACTTTTAGGGTTGATTCTAACACACATACCGATTTCAAATAGGATCAGTCAAGGCCAACCAATAGTCTTATGATTCAGATACAATTAAGATCAGTCATAGTAAGACAATGTAAGTAATACAGGATTTCAGCCTAAGTCAATAGGAAAGTAAGGATAGTTACTATGGTATAACCTGCTATTTTTGGTTCTAGAGGTCTGTGTCCTCAAATCTGACATGAGTGGACAGACCAGAACAAATTTAATTCAATCTAAATATGGCACTAGGACTACTGTGTCTTTTAAATCATTATACACCATTAGCAATGACCTCTGCTTTTTTTTATTTGAATTTGGTATGCTTGTTAGTATCAACCCTAAAAGTAGAGGCAACTACTCTGAAGATGACAAGATGCAAAGGATATCCATACTGGTATTAATTATTAACAACTCTCAAATCCTACAATGCTTTCAAAGTTGTGTTTTTATAAAAATAGGTAATACTATGTTTAACTATATTAAGCTGATGATGTGGACAAATCTATTGAAAATAACAAGAGAAAACATAGTAACTACAGAAGATCACCTATATTGTGGTCTTATATGTCTTATCCATTGCATGTTTTTCTAGGAATTTGTTTTGCTGTCTTGTTATGATTTGTTTGTCCCTATAATACAGAGAGGATAGATATATGTGTAGAAATTCACACATGAGATTTTTTTTAATATTATTTACAGAAACAGATTATATAATGCAAGATGTAATGAACAGATACTCTGAATAAGAGACACTAAGAAACCCAATGCTAATTTTGTAGCATTATGATATAAATTCCCGCAATATTATTGTTTGCTGATCAGAGTGATAGTGGTCTAGTCTCTTGAGTTCAGTTTCAGCATATGTAGGGATGGGGACGGCTACCGCGAAGAGAATGAGAGATGCGATAGTAATTATTATTGTCTTCCCCAATGTTAGATCTTGAAGGCCTAAAAAAGCCTTCATCATCCTGTAATGATTTGATTAGTTCTATAATATGCAATATTTATATAATGTGGGTGAAGATGGGGACAACTATTTGTAAGAAACTAGTGACAGTTAGATGGACGGTGAGGATCTCCAGTGGACTTGCTTTGAAATCTGTATTTCTTTAAATTGTGTTTTTAACTGTTTTGTTCTGTTTTGATATGTTTAATCTTACCCTCTTTGAGATGTAAAACAAGTGTGTAGGTCTGATAACCATATTGCTGAGTTTTTGTTCGATCATTGGGCAGAATTGTTTGCAGTGTCACTTTTTGAATGTCATTTTAAATACTTTGATTTTGTGGCCTGAATGGCTGTTTCTAAGATGACAATATGTAACTTATCGACCAGTGATTTCTTACCATTTATTTTTCTGTAGCTTTGTATTATTTCTACCCTTTTTATCTCCATGTACTTTTTGTTTCCTTTTCTTTAAATAAAAAAAAATGTGAAAAAAAAAGAATTTACTTGTGAATCATTTCAGTTTTGGAATTCCAAACCTTTGCCTTCGTTCTATGGGAACTAGTTAACCTACTGCTTCTCAAGAGGTTGGCATTCATCCTGACATTGTTCAACTTCCAGGAAACTCATCAAATACTTGCAAGTACCTTTTAAATTAACTTTATTGGTACACTTCAGACATACAAAATGATCATATTCACCATAAGGAATTTATACCAGTACTTATTTATTTTGATTCCTCTTTTTTCCCAACCCCCTCTCCTCTCTTCAACCCATCTTACTCTTTCAATATACAAAGCTTCATTTCTATTTTATTCTTTTCTTGTTTTTAAATTTTTTCCTATTCTCTTACTTCTTTTCCCCTCCCCCACCCTAATGTCCCTTTCTTTTTGAATAATTTCTTCCCATTTCACAATATTTATTGTATATTTTGGTTCTTATTTACTCTTTCAGTTTCTCACACCAGGGAGACAATGGGATGTTTACATATTTGAGTCTGATTTATTTTGCTTAATAGTATGGTCTCAAGTTGTATCCATTTACCTAAAATTATCCTTCTTCAGGGCAAAGCAGTACTCCATTGCATTAAAAACCCCATATCTTCTTTATTCATTCATTGATTGATGGGCATTTGGGTTGTTTCCAAGGTTTTTACAATCTGTGCAGCTATTAACATGATGTTTTTAATTATTCTGGGACAATATCCAGAAGGGGATTAACTGTGTCAAGTTGGACCTCTAATTGTTTTTTCAGAAATCTCCACACTGACTTCCACAGTGGTTGCACCACTGTACACTCCTACCAACAGTGGAGAAGAGTCCCTTTTGCTTCCCACCACCGCCAGCAATTGTTACTGGTTGATTTCTTCATGATCACCATTCTTTCTGAAGTGAGATGTTAAAACAGAAACACTAAATCTACTGGAAGAGACAATAGGCAGAACCTTTGAAGACACAGGGGTAGGGAAAGATCTGATGAGCAAAACCCTGATCACACAGGAAGTAATACAAAGAATCAATAACTGGGATCTCATCCGACTAAAAAGGTTTTGCACAACCAAAGGAATCACCAGCCAGGTGAAAAGACAACCTCAGAGTGGGAAAAACTCTTAGCCACTTGTCCTTCAGATAAAAGACATATCTAGGGCATATATAGAAATGAAACAATCAGAGCCCTCAAATTTAAAGATCCAATCCAAAAACAGACATCTAAGATAAATATACACTTCTCAAATGAAGAAATACAATTGGCAAATAAATATATGAAAAAATGTTCAGCATCACTGGTTATTAGATGAAAATTTTAAGCATTTTAAAATTGATTTTAGATTTAAATATTTTACTCTATCTATAAAAACACGATGTAGTAGAAGTTAATAAACAAATATAATCCTGTGTATCACATGTAAAGTGAATGATTATTCAAAAATCAGAGTCTATAATTTTATAGCTTGTTAACTTTGCAAAGCCTACTAGGAAATCCTGAAGCTCATCATTTTTTGATATTTTCTGTTGCAGGGCTGCACCAATAAATGAAAAACATTTGGCTTTTACACGTGGACCCCACATTAAATGCGTGGTAATATTTGGACATTTCTGAAGACAATATCCCTTATATCCCAATAGACAGAGTTACTGGCCAACAATCAGGCAAATCCTCACCCTGATGTTCTTGGATTTGGCCATGACAGCAAACGAAGAGGATTGCGAACACAGTGGTACAGATCTGTGTTGTCCAGAACAGCCATGGCCATTGGTTTCCCCAGAATGATGGCAGGCACTCTGACCTGCTGGTCAAACAGAGCGACTCTTCCCTGCACCTGTTTCTAATTCCACACTGACAAGTGCCTTAACTCAAGCCTTCTCTCTACCACCCACCACAATGACGTCTTCCACTCTCCTCCCAGGCACTCCTCCTCAAATCTCTTATAATCCCTTATCTTTACTTCTATACTGTCTGCTTTCCACTAATCTCCTTTGGAAGCTCCAACAGAAAAATATTTTATTCTGTGGGCAAGAGACTTTAGAATTTTGTCTTTTGCCCAGGTTCAGCATCAGAACCTAAGGACAAGTGGGAACTTCCAGGAGGAATCAGGTAGCCAAATCTGGGAGAGTCGACTAGAAGGCAAGTGGAGATATGTGTGACCTATGAGTTTCCTCTTTCCATTACTGGAAGTGTGGACACAGAAAAGACTGAACTTCCATAGTTGGGTCTATTGGAATAGAGAAGAGATTGGGGTCTGGCTCTGGGGATATTTGAGAAGCTGCTGTTAGTGGGCCAGGAAAGAGCCAAGACTACAGGGAGACATGATTTTAGTTCATTTATTTATTTACTTTTCTGTTTTTGAGACAGGGTCTCACTATGCAGTTCAGGCTGGCCTTGAACTCAGTTTATATATAGCACAAGGTGTCCTCGGACTAGCAAAGTTCCTCCTTCCTTAGCCTCCTGAGTGCGAGAATTACAGGTGTGCACCACCGTGCCCAGACATGATTTTAAAATCTTAACTATTTTATTGTAGCATTTTGCTACTGTGGCCCAAAGCAGCTTCTGAGGTTCTTGGGATGAAGGATCACAAAAGGATGAAAAGACAAAGCCAGGGTCAGGTGGAGATCTTACAAGGTACAGCATATTTATTTATATACTGGGAAAGATGATGTCAATTTCAGCCCCTCTGCCTAGCAACCCATAGCTTGGATTGTCTAGGAGCTTGGTTTTTCTGGGCTATAGCAACTTCTTCGTGTGGCTAACTCAGGCGCTTTTTGTTTTCTTGTAGGGTCATTCGTAGTAGTTCGGTTCTTCTTGGACTTTAGGCGGATCAGCTATCAACCTTGCTTCCTCTAATGATACACGTCCTAAATCAAGGTTAGCGCTGCCATCATTACATAAGTTTTCATTCACGCAGCAAAATGTTTCTCTGTGAAAGTCGTGGTATAGTTTGGTTACTCCTCCTACGCAAGGCTTGCAAGACAGAATTGTATAACGAAACAGGTATCTCCCTAAAGAAAGAAAAGCAAGCATGTTTACTCTGTGTCATTTTACCATATTCTTGGCAGTGTCTTCACCCCAGAACCTCACTGGTGTTCTAGAGACTAGAATGAGTAGATGTCACCTATGTCTGTCTAATCATGAGCAGCCAAAAGACATCTTCATCCACACAACCCACACCCAGCTTTGTGTCTGGAAACCCCACATCCCTACCTTCTTCCAGGACCCCAATTTCTCTCTGCACCTCAGCTCCAGAGACTGTGCTCACACTGTTGATACTCTGTTTTTCTCTAACTCCCACTTACCTGAATCTCGATCATGAAAGTAAAAGTTTTCTGTGGAACAACTCTTGTTGTCTGGCAGCCAATTAAACTTCCAGCAGTTCTTCATGGGGTGGCGGCAATGCTCTCCATCAAAGTGTTTACAACTATAACAACGTCGAATCCCTAAAGAAAAGAGACGCATCCTTAACAGAGAACTCTAAAAGAAAGTGCTTCCACTTCAGAGGACTAGGGTGGGGGAAAACATCCCCAAAAGGATGCCAACACTGCCTCAGCTTCAGTCCCTCCATCAGGGACAGCTATGACTCCTTCCAAGAACTAAGGACTCCACTCCCTGGCTGAAGGCAGAAAAAAGACCCTGGAGTAGTATGAAGAGAATGAACAATTCTTAGATAACTCAAGAATGTCCTTTCTCCTTGTAGCATTATTTATCCAAACCAAATGCGCCATACATTTGTTCTTCAGGCTGCTGCCTGTGGAAAGAAGAAAATTCATCTTAAATCACTTGCCAGTATCACCGAAAGCCAGGCGCAGAAACCCCTTCCTTCCTCCCCACACATCCTTCCACCACCCCGCTCCCTTCCCTTCCCATCCCTACCCTCCTCCAGGAACAGTACTGTGGCCATGCCCAACAGAAGCAACCTAAGCATCTTGGGGTCCATTCTCAAGGAGTCCCAGTAGGAGCTTGAGGCCCTATTTATTGCCATCTCCTGCCCTCAGGCATCCCACTAGAATCACAGAATCATAAACTTCAGATCAAAACACCTGAATTCTCTCTACCACGTACCCAGACAAGGGTACATCTTGTCTATTTTTCTCACTCCTCCAGCTACTTGGAACTCAGCCCACCCAGATCCTCATTTCACTTTATGAGATCTCTCATAGAGTACTAATTTGTGGCGGTGCCCAAACTCTATCCTCTTCACTTTGATTGTGTTTCTGCTTGTTGATCTATGTGAAACATGTGTTAAGTTCACATCCACATGACATCTTTTCATATATGATAAAACTGCGGTCAAAAAGTACTGTGGATGAATTAGTCCCTTTCAGATAGCACATTCTTCCAGGCCACTCTCTCCCAGATGATCTCTAGGAGACCACATTCTTCCCAGAACATGACCCCAGAATAGAGAGCAGTACTCTATGAGGTCGTCTGAGTGCTCAATCCCTTCTAAGGGGACAGAACAGTCTAAGAAAAGGGGAAGTGGGGAGGAAATGAATACTGTGCCAATTTACCCTAATTCATTAATTTTTTTTCAGGCAACAAAGACCCTAACTCAGTAGTCCCTAAATCTTTTGGTACCATGATTGGGTTTCTTGGAATTTTTCCCTGGATGGTGAGGAGTTTGGGTAGTGGTGTGAGTTGGCAGGACCAGGGGGTGGTATTTCGGGATTAGATTCTCATTAAGAACAAAGAATGTAGACCTTGAAATGTGCAGTTAACAGAAGGTTCCTGCTCATACAGGAGCTAATGGCCCTCATCATCTTATGGGAGGCAGCGCTCTGACAGTGACGCTGGCTGTGGGGGTGGAGGCTGTAAATACAGATGAAGTGTAGTTTACTGGTCCTTCCTCTCCCTGATACGGATCCCTGGCAAGGGGATGAGGGCGGGAAGTTAGGTAGGTCTGGAAGGGAGTTTGCTCACTGAGTTCTTGCCTTTACTTTAGTTCTGACATCCCTCGTGCTATCAGCTGTCACTTTCGGTGGGTCTTTTCCAGTCCAGCCTATAGATAAAAGAATGCAACTCACTCACCACACTTCTCTCATGCCTTTCCTACTGGCTTTCCACAGAGTATTTCCCAGTTTGTGATTCTAGGGCTTTTCCTAATTTGTGTCATTTTGGTTCTCATCATTCATAAGATGAAAATTCCACAGATGCCAGAGATTTGGGTCTTACATCCTCTGCTTTCTCCGAAGGCCTGGAATCCTGTCCTGCATGTCTCAGGTCATCAGAAATGTTGTAGGAAAGATGAGCAGCATGAACAGATGCCCTTCACCTGTGTGGTTTAAGGGAATGGTGGAAGCCAGCATACTGATGGTCCCTAATTCCAAGCTCATGGAATGAAATTCCCAACCATAAGTTTGCAGTTAGCAATCCCTACAAAGCAAACAGAAAGCTTCCCTTGTTGCAGGGAATCACTGTGCATCCACTTTATGACAATAGACTCATTTCCAGAGTCACACACACGACACCCAAGCACAATCTCTCTCCTCTAATGCGGACTTTCAAGGTTCCCTATGCACATGAAAGATGGAAACCCAAGACTGCCACCCATCTGCTGTATGACATCAAACAAGTTACTGAGCCTCTCTGCTTCTCTATGACCTAATAAACGAAAAGTAAGAGCTATCACAGTTATATCTGAGATAGTTGTTAGTACTTTGTGAACTCACACGTGTGTAACAGGGGAAAAGGAACAAACATTTAATAAGTCAACTTGGTTTTAGAAGACTCTTTTAGATATCCTTAAATTCTATGAACAATCCTATAGTTTAGAAATAATTAACCTCATCTTACCAAAGAAACACAAGCATTTTAGGGTTTATGTATTTTTGCCAGTGTAACAAGGGTGCACCCCTGTCTGATTCAATGGGACATTATCTTCCCAGGGTACCCCAGAGTTTACAGTCCGCAGAAAGGTTCCCGGATGGGCTCAACATAACAATGGTCAGAGATAGAGAATGGGTAAATAAGAACTCTCTTCACCAAATAATTACAGCAAATGCTCCTCATGTAACTTCCCACAGTGGGATTGACAATTTCAAAGGAAAAGGGGGCCTGCATGTCACAGCTTCATAGTACGACTTCTTCCCAAGGACCCCTAACCATGATGCCCATGAGAGTGATAATGTTGACCTCAAGTTGACAAAGATTTGTTACAAAGTGGGTCAAGAAAGACCCACTGTGGTGCAGTATAATTCAAGGGATTTATTATTTATGTCTCCCAGCACCAAGTGCCATGTCATCTGTGCTGTCCATGCCAGAGCACAAAGCAGGTAACTAAGGTAAGATCACCAAAATTTAGCATTTGGTTTGCTCAGGAGCCACACAGACCCCCAACCAAAGCAGGTTTCGGATGCCTCAGCCCACAGAGTCCACTTTCAGAGGCCACCTGTCAGGGAGGGCAGCAAGCCAGGACTTATCGTTGATGCTCTGGTGGGCAAAGGAGAAAGAAGTGACGGTGGAGTAGCCGCAGGAGTGGCCTGGTAAAGACCAGCTGCCATTAAGCCTCAGTTGTGGCTTACTTGCTGCTGTGAGCAGACCAAGAACACTTTCTTCTAGATGGTCTTTGAAGCTCAGGACTTGGGCTCTGTATGGTTTATTTCAGATCGGCGAACCATTAGGAGATTAGCTGAACTCTGTACTACTGATAGAAGGTGAAAGCTAGACCTCTGCAACCCAGAGTGACCAAAGACCGACGAAACACTCAGGGAATTAATTGTATTGGGTTCAAGGAGTCCCACAAACACGCCTTGGATGTTCTCCATCTTTTTCCCCTACCTGAAGGGTACCCTTGACTCAGGCATTTTCTGAAAGGCTCCACAAATCCTTTGTCTTTCTACATGCAAATTTATGGGCACTGTAGCTTTCTTCTGAAATGCCTATTAGGTGTCCACCCTAGAGAAGTAGAAAAAAACCTAATGCCAGATCTAGCCCAGAACTAGGTACAATTTCCAAGATTTAGAATGCCGAGTCAATCCTGCCAGTCCCCTATTATTTCCCAAATGCATAATCTTGTATGCTTATGTATCTCTCTCTCTTGGGAAGGACAGAAACTCCACTCCCTACCTCTTCCCACAGCAAAGGCTTGAAAGGGGCATCAAAAGTCACAGAAAGACCCTGACCATGAAGGAGCATAATTTCTTAATGCTGTGACTCACACGTTGGTGACAGAGCTCTGTGTGAGTCTGGTAGGACTATCATAACAAAATAACACAGACGGGCTGTTTAAACACCAGAGATTTATTTTCTTACAGTTTGGGAAGGTTAGAAGTTCAGGATCAAGCTTCTGACAGGATTGGGTTTTCTGAATGCCTCTCTCCTTGGCTTGTGGATGGCCAACCCTCCCATGATCTTTCCTCTGTGCAAGCAAATCCCTGGTGTCTCTCTCTGTTCTTATAAGGACACCAGTCATTAGATTCAGTCCTGCCTGTGTACTGCCATTTAGCCATGATCCCCTCTTTAAGGCCTTATCTACAAATATGGTCAAATATCATATTGAGTTCAGTATATGGTCTTAGGAAAGACACAATTCGTCCCCAGCAGGGTCTCTGGTGGAGGCACACTCAGCACAGACCATGAGTGACAGTACTTAGCTGATGTTGGAGTGGACATGATAGTACAAACCCCTTTTACTCTCAAATATACTGGTAAGAAAAGTTCCCTGAAGGGGATATATAGAAAGCACAAACAAAAAGCATGGATAGCAGTAGTTTGACTTGTTCTTGGATCAAACCACTGAAGAGTGGGAGGCAGACAGCCCTGACACATCAGGGCACTCAAGCATGAGAGACAGTCAGCCTCTGGCACTTGGATTAGATATTAACTATGTCTTCAAGGCCATAGATGCAATCCCTCCACAGCTCTGAAGTCAGTACGGGGGCTGGTATATAGATAGTGGCACAAATTAACATGCTCAATTTTTAAGTATATATCATATCAAAAAATGCCTGCCTATGCGTTGTAGTTAGAGGAATGTTTTCCTCGGCAGAGGAAAGCACAATTCGGGGATTCAGTGTATGCTGGAAAGGGTGATCTTTACAACAGAATGTCATTACATTAAATTTCAGAGAAGCTCTGAAACTTCATCACTAACAATTTAAAGGAAATAAAGAAGGGCAGACATTACATTAGAACACATACGCCTAGAGCTGACATCCTAAACTTTCTTGTCAGATGCTAAGGTAGATAGGTTTGACCTAACAACCAACATCCCTAACACAGGACCTGAGGCTTCTGATACTGGAAGAAAATATCAATAAGCAGAATAAAATTTGTTTTCCTTTTAGCTCTGCAGAAGCTTATTTTATTGCCTTGAGGTGCATAGGGAAAGGAAAACAAAGTTACGTGATATTCAGAAATTGATATTTGGATCCAGTTATGGAGAAGACAATAACCTTAGAAGTCAGACAATTATTCGAGAGAGATAACTAATTTCTTTTTAAAATTCCTTTAACTATCCTAAAACTGGAGAGCTCAGAGAAAATGCCCTTGCGGTAGAGGGTGGAGGCCCCGTGAGACTAGGATATCCAGATTTACTCTATTGCATTTACTCTAAGAGGATGCACGTGATTCAAAGAAAGGGAAAAATTAAATACTCTTAGCTTTCCAAGCCTTAGGAAAAAGGAGCCAAGGAGAAGTAACAGATGGGAGAACAAGAGAGAAAAAATACTTCAAATATTCGTATTGATCTCTGAGAGTGGGGGTCTGATAAAAGGAAATTTGCCCTGCTCCCTGATTATCATCTTTGAAGAAGGTCTTCCTGTACTCTGTCCTGCAACAACCTGGAACAAAAGTTTCTCACAATGAGCA